TTAAATTCAGCAGTTGATGACGTGACGCACTGAAAGTTCTAATCACACCGGTGTGATCGTACGCTTCAGGGACCAGCCAAGACTGATCACACCGGTGTGATCGTACGCGTCAAAGGGTTAATGACAGAATTTTCAGTTTTGGGTGAACTATCCCTTTAAACCACTGAGATGGCCATCACAGTATGTGGACTAACAAGCGGGATGCTGTAGCAATAGCATCCAAAACAATCAACAATGCAACCAAACAATCAACAATGTCCTGGCAAAAACAAAGTTAAAATGAAGCAATGTTAATTTAGTTTTAATTAGCTAGTTTTAATTTAATGACAGTTTATTTAACACAAAGTTTAGTGTTATAAATATACATTCATTTTTAACTGAAAAAAACATTGGTATGTTCATAATTTTATATTTGTGGAAATGTATAATCACAGTCTCTGAAAAGGGCCCATAATTAATAGTGATTAGACCTAAAAAAAAAACTGAAGTATTTGTGTCAGACAAAGAGACAAAAAGTTGCCGTGTTGGGGGGCTCCAGGAACAGGGTTGAGGACCACTGAGCTGGGTTATAAACATTATATCAGACTGTACCAATATTTGGTCGATCTGGTCATGCCATGTTAAATTTATTTTAGGAAATGGCTTCAAGTACCACAGCGTTCCAATGATGAAGAAGCACAGGTGGGTTTTTGTTGTTGTTTTAGAATATTTGTTGTTGTAATATAATATATGCTTACTGGCCACTTTATTAGGTAAACCTGTTCGTTCATCTGCTTGTTAACGCAAATATCTATTCAGCTAATCACATGGCAGCAACTCAATGCATTTAGGTATGTAGACATGGTCAAGAAGTTCAAACTGAGCATCAGAATGTGGAAGAAAGGTGATTTAAGTGACTTTGAATGTGGCATGGTTGTTGGTGCCAGACAGGCTAGTCTGAGTTTTTCAGAAACTGCTGATCAACTGGGATCTTCACACACATCTATCTCTAGGGTTTATAGAGAATGGTCTAAAAAAGAGAAAATATCCAGTGAGTGGCAGTTCTGTGGGTGAAAATATCTTGCTGATGCCAGAGGTCAAAGGAAAATGACCAAACTGGTTTGAGTTGATAGACAGGCAAAAGTGAATTCCAATATCCACTCGTTACAACTGAGGTTTACAGATGAGCATCTCTGAATGCACAACAGTTCTGAATGCAGAAGGGGGTCCAACCTAGAGATGTGAGAAACAAACTTTTTCAAAGTTTTGAATAAAAAAACTATTGCTTTGCAAAATGATTCACTGTGTCTAAGCACTTGAAACCACACACTGGATGATAATGCAACACAAACTCAGACCAAAATATGCATAGCTTTTACAAACCCATTGCAAACGTTTTTTTGGAAGTATAGTAATTTAAATGAAATTAACAATCAAATACCATTAAATATGAAGTGTCTTTTGTTTTGATTGTTTTATGGAGGGATTGTCTACTTTTCCTTTTAATTGCACATTAATGTCTCATTAAAGTCTCTACAAATTTGTAAAACTGATCCGAGATCATGTAAAAACCATAGACACTGGTTCAATGGTTCACCGCTGGTAGGCAATCTCAGTGAACTTGCATGATTCATGGGTTCACAGAGAACCACTGAAATTTGGAAACACTTTGAAACAGTTCTTACATAACAAAGCCTAGTTTACTGAAATCACGTGACTTTGGTCATTTGAAATGTGCGCCGAACCACTGGTTCAAAACAAATGATTTGCAAAGGTTTCAAAGTTTCATGAAGCTGCCCATTACTAGTCCAACCCGGTACTAGCAAGGTGTACCTAATAAAGCAGCTGGTGAGTGTATATAGATATACAGTTCAAAAGTTTGGAGTCTCTAAGTTTTTTTTTATGTTTTTGAAAACAGTCTCTTATGATCACTGAGGCTGAATTTGTTTGATTAAAAATACAGAAAAACTGTAATACTGTGAAATATTATTACAATTTAAAATAAATGTTTTTTTCTGTTTGAGTATTTCAAAATGGAATATATTCATGTGATATCAAAGCTGAATTTTCAGCATCAGCATCCAGTCTTCAGTGACACATGATCCTTCAGAAATCATTCTAATATGCTGATTACTGGTATTTTCATTATTATCAATATAATGCATCATGGCTTGAATAAAAGAAAAAAAAATTAATTGACCACAAACATTTGAACTGTAGTGTGAATATTTAGATTTTATATATGATAATATAAGCTAAAATTGCCTAAACTTTTCCTACAGGACAGTGGAGCGCTCTAAACAAGACAGGTGAATGGCTGTGATGATCAGGATGAAAGTGGTAATCCAGTCTCTCCTGTGCAGTTACAACCCTGTACAACCCATGGTAGACATAAATTATAACGAGTTAAATATTAATAAGGCTCATGCTTTCAACATGAACTGATGTGGCTCAAAGGAATGTTTCTTACAAAAGGCCATGAGTTCTTGCTCATCTGACATCTTTTAAAATTAAATTTACAAATTAAAATTTCATATATACACTGAACAAAATTATAAACGCAAAGGCAAAATAAGAAAAATGTACACATCTTCATTCTGTTCAAAAGTTTTCACCCCCCTTCTGGAGCATCAGAGAGAGTTTGAACCTTCTGTAATAGTTGCATATGAGTCTCTCAGTTGTCCTGTGTGTCATACAGTCATTGTTGGAAAGAGTTCAAATACTCAAAAATTTTGGAAAACCAAAGAATTTGTTTTCTGAAGGACAGCAGGCAGTTTAACAGTTCAGCACAAACAAGGGACTCAATCATTAAAAAAAAAAAAACACACACAGCTGTGGATCATTCAGGTAACAACACAGTATTAAGAATATGTTTGTAAACTTGTGAAATTCAACTATTATTTTCTCTTGTGGACTATATGTAAACATATTTTATGTGAAATATCTTATTCAGATCAGTATAATAAACAATAACATGCATTTTGTATGATCCCTCTTGGTAAAATAATTAACATTTGTGGACTATATGTAAACATATTTTATGTGAAATATCTTATTCAGATCAGTATAATAAACAATAACATGCATTTTGTATGATCCCTCTTATTTTGGTAAAATAATTAACATTTTGCAGATTCTGCAAGGTGTATGTAAACTTTTGACTTTAACCGTAAATCAGTAACAGTGGTCTGTTTATTTAAATGTTATATTTTGCTATCACAGGAATGGAGAGCTTTCTGATCAGAGACCGTAACAGCTGTGTGTGGATCAGCACTCCATCCTGAACCAGATGTCCCAAATGACCGGACCTGCCTTTGTCTGATTGGAACAAACTTAGTTATTTAGGACTGGTAAGAAGAGGATTCCGATAAGATCACCTGTTTTCAGCTAACATGAAGGGAGATCAAATGCAAGATTTGGACTAGAGATGCTCTCCTAAGTAAGGTAAATTGAAAGTAGGTTTTGATGAGGTGGAAAGTAATTCTTAAATACGAAGAGGAAGTGATATTATATTTCAAGCCTGCAAAAGTTCCTTCTAAAAAAATTATTAAGCATTATGTACAGTCTCCCTTCTCCTGATCTCTCCAGAGCTCGACTCTGAAAGGGAAATTCCCAGCAATGAACAGCATTCACTTATGTTACATAGTTGTTTGCGTCTGCACTGCTTTAGCTCCTGACTAATAGGAAATTTGAGCAAAACACAATCTGCATGGTTCAGTTTGCAGGCTGTTCTGCTTGTTAGGCAGATTAGGAAGATTAGGCAGGAACAGCATCACTCTTTGTGATCCAGGAACCTGAATCAGCTCTTTAAATTGCTAAAAGAATGTGCTTAAAGGGGTCATATGATTCGATTTCAATTTTTCCTTTCTCTTTGGAGTGTTACAAGTTCTTGGTGCATAAAGAAGATCTGTAAAGTTGCAAAGACTAAAGTCTCAAATCCAAAGAGATATTCTTTATAAAAGTTAAGAGTCAACCACGCCTACCTAAAACGGCTCGTTCTAACACGCCCCCACATGTCTACGTCACACACCTCGCTTTTCAGACCGATGAGCTTTGTAAAAATCGACGCGTTTCAGAAAGGCGGGGCATAGAGGAGAAACAATAATGTACAGTATGTGGAAAATAATGTTTTTTTTTTTACTTTAAACCGCATAAACACAATTCATTACACCAAATACACAAAATAATGTTCTTTTTAGTAACAACATATGACCCCTTTAATTAGACACTGTGTCTGGACATATGTCCTGTTAGGTATTGTGTTGTGAAAGAAAACTGTCATCATATGCATCATAGGCACAAGCAGCATATCCTCAACAGATGTCTGTTTAACCTCAAACAGTGAAGTTGGAGTTGGGGTGTATTTTAGGATGGTGTAATGGTTACCACAGGCAGCTGTTGGCTTTGTAATAACTGCTCATTTTCTTGGTTTTTGTATTGTATTTTTCGGTTTTTGTTGTATTTTAGTTGCTTCTCTTTTTTCATTATTTCCATCTCTCTCTCTCTCTCTCTCTCTCGATATCTCTCTTAAAAGTGTCTGGGCCTCACACCCATTAGTTAGACACACACACACACACACACACACAAATTACAAGATTTTTTTATTGGTCTTATGAAGTATTCTAATTTGTTGTGAATTGGTGGGTTTTTGTTAAATGTGAGCCAAAATCATCACAATTAAAAGAACCAAAGACTTAAACTACTTCAGTCTGTGTGCATTGAATTTATTTAATACACAAGTTTCACAATTGAGTTCACAATTGAACACAAAAAGTGTTGAATTACTGAAATAAATGAACTTTTCCACGACATTCTAATTTATTGAGATGCACCTGTATGTTGCACTATAATGCATAAAAAGTGCATGTGAATCAAAATTCCCTGACACTAACTAGGTTAAATTCTGCACACAACAGAAAAACAAGGCATTTTTATTTCTAGGACTAGAGAGACAGAAAAGAAAGTATGAAAGAGATGGGGAGTGGAAGCCATCCAATGTGTCCTCAGCTATTTGATCAGGGAAATTTAGCATGTATTTTCTTTGGTAGAAATGCTAACGTCCATATTTTACAAAAAAATAGCATATTCTGAGTAAGCATGCCAAATTTAATCAGTTTTTGATCTAGTATCAGCTAGATCTTGACACTTTTTCAGTTTTTCTTCAGCTTGTCTATACTGCTTGGTTCCCAATAATTTATATATTTCAATATTTATAATTGCTATGAAATATTCAACCAAAATGTATTTAAACATGCACTCAAACTTGAAAATTAATTTGTTTAATTAACAAGATGACTAAAGTGGATAAGAACATTTCATGTGTCAACTGTAAACAGATGATGCTATAGCTTTTCATGAACTAGTATTTTCTGTACACTCTGCTAAACGAAGCCTGTTTCATTAAGCCAGTGAACAAGCTCAGAGTTACAGAAATAGTTTGACAAAACTAAACAAATCCAACCCGGTTTAGTCTTCTCACAATGCTCACTAGAAATATTTTCTGTCTAGTCTGGGTTCGATCATGAGCTTTTGAGAATATTATTGCAGGGTAATGCATGAAGGGTTTGTAGACTAACCCAGATCAACAGCTCTGTAGACTTCCCTAGATCTCCATGTCATTT